CACTGCTGCTATTCGTACTGCACTTAGTCACGTTGAGAATCTCATAACTGGTGTCACTAAAGGGTACCGTTACAAGATGCGTTTTGTGTATGCCCATTTTCCTATCAATGCTTCTATCACTGGTGTGAACAAGGCTATCGAGATCAGAAACTTTCTTGGCGAGAAAAGGGTACCTTTTTTAAAATATATTTTCGAATTTTTTAATGTTAATGTTTAGTAATAACGTGTTTTTATTTGCTATTGCTTATAATGTATCTATCGTGTATTTACGTTGATTAGGAGATTGTATTTGGAAATGCTGTATTTAACTGCTAGAATTTCTGTAGTTTTTGGTGTGTGAGATATTGCTAGGCAGAGTGGATTGCTGAAGTTAATTGAGTATTCTGTTAAAATATGATTTGGTGTTTTTCTCCAAGTTTTGCCTCTGGCACATTTTAGTGTTTACTTCTCAAATCTGTATGTAAAAATACTATTTGGAATGTTTTGGAATGAAGAGGTCAATTAGTCTTACTGAATGGAATTCGTTTGTTGGTAAATGTTATTTGGCTTTAATTTGCTGCTTAATAATAGTACTACTTTAATAGGATGGCCGAATATGCATCTTGAAACATTTGACGTTTCAGGTGTCTTTGAGTGCTACATATTTGTTTTGTTGCCTCCATCCATCTAAAAAAAATATGGGGATTCTCTGAAATACCAATTTTATATAATTGCACTTGTTGTATTAAGCACAATTTTTTTAAAAAGTGAGTGGCTCAAAAAAAGCACACTTATATGATGCACATGGCTTCACCAATGGCTTTTATGACACTGATTTAGTAATGTGCTTCCAAGTCCTTCAATTGATTGAAATCTGTTTCTTAACATTTCATTAGGGAATGCGCTTAGATTGTGGCTGGCGGAGCCACCATCTGTTAAGGGTATCACCTATTCGCCGAAAAATTATACTGTTTAGCTAGGTCAAAATTTTATTTTTATGTATGCATGCTATATGTTGACTCTTATTTTCTCTGAGTGTTCTTTTAATGTTTTGACAACCCCTAGTAAAATTCCTGGCTTTGCTATTGACATGGATGATGTTATAATACCATTTTTTGGGTTTTAAGTTCTATGAAATCAAGTAGTCTGAGATTGAATAGTTGCTTTTCTTCCACGGGTAAATAAATGTAATACTCCCTCTGTTTCAGTTTTCTGAACCTATTTTTTTTGTCTATTCCATAAAATGATCCCTTTTTAAATTTGGAATCAATTTAACTTAAATTTTCAATTCTATGCTTTGATAGCCCCACAATTGCTCTAGCATGTTTAACACCACAAGTTTCAAAAGATTATAGCCACACAAATGTTATGACTTGTTTAGGACCACAAGTTTTAAAAGTCCTTAGTTCAGTCAAATAGGTTCACACAAATTGGAGCGGAGCAGAGGGAGTAATAGCTAAGAGAACTAGAGAGCTAGGTTGAAATTTTCGTAGTGAGTAAAGTACTTGGCTGCAATCAATGGATGGATTGAGATGATTTGGTTTATTTTTAATATAAGAGTAGATGTTTGAATCCTTTTTCCATAAGGAATGACATAGTTGTAGGTTAGTTTCCTTGATAGATGGATATGTTCTCCCAATTTCTTCTTTGGCGAGGTGTTTAAAATCTGCTGCTACATCATTCAAATTAACATTAGCTTTGGTGGCTTGGCATATTTAAGTGTAAGGTAGTAGGGAACTGACTTGTTGCTTTCATTGTCTCAGGTAAGGAAAGTCGATATGCTTGAAGGGGTTACTGTTGTCAGGTCTGAGAAAGTTAAGGATGAATTGGTATTGGATGGGAATGACATTGAGCTTGTTTCGCGTTCTGCTGCACTCATAAACCAGGTAAAACTCCCTCTTTTTACTCCTGTAGACATGCACTTTAATATGCACTTGTTGATTCTGCTTTATTGACAGAAATGCCATGTTAAGAACAAAGATATCCGTAAGTTCCTGGATGGTATCTATGTGAGTGAGAAAGGAAGAATAGCTGAAGAAGAGTAAGTTTTAGCAGGCTGGTTGTTTCATTTGAAGTTAATTCAACAATTTTGGTTCCATGGTTTTCTGGATGAAGTATCTGTTAGGAGTAATTTTATGTTTTATGTTTGGCTCATTAACTAGAGATGGATGCTTTCCTTTGATCGTTTGCTTATTATCAGATCAATTTCTATGTCAGTTTTTTTCCTTTTACCTGTTGTTGCCCTATGCCTTTTTAGATGGATTTAAATTTTTTTTTTTATATACACAATTAATGTGTCTTAACTTGTAGTAGAAGTAATCTACTTTATTTACCCGTTACTAATTTTACTTTGTATGGAGAGTTATCCGAAGTTATGTGATAATGTAAATATTCTTTTGCGCCATCCGTATATATAAGTCTCATTCAAGAGGGATTGCACTCCAGCTCTACAAAATAGAAAAAAAAAGCATTATAAACCATTTAACTAGGACATTATCTGATTGGTGTTCAACTCATTTTCAGTTATCTGCTAGTGACTGACCTTTCTTCGATTAAAAGAATGTGGAGGAAGGAACTAGAAAGGGAAAAGTAAAAGAAAATTAAATGTTTAAGTCAATATTCATTTTGATAGGATCTCGTCGCAACCTTTTAATCTATGGATAACGGGTAAGGGAAGAGGTTATTAAAACAAACTTGGACAATTCAGTTGAAGGTCTTTTTATAGAGACGCTTACTAAGTGACCTTTGGTATGATTACCTAAATGGCAAAGGTCAAAATTTTTCTCTCTACTTTCGAAATATTTTTCGTTATACTAATGGGTTATCTATACTCCTGCAGTCATACTTTGGAGAGACATGTGTTATCGTCTTGTTGGTCAATTCTAAATATTTTTTAATTAATTAAAAAGATCTGTTATCTATACACGAAAAATAATTTTTGTTTTTGTAAAAGTTGTAAAAAACTGAATTATTTTTATTAAAAACTGAAAAATAATTTTGTTTTACAGTTTTTACAAAAAAAAGCTTTTGAAAAAAGCTAAAAAATATTTTCTAAAACAATATTTTTATAAAAACTGAAACAAAAATAAAAAGTAATTTTTTAAAGCAATGTTTTTGTAAAAACTGAAAAAATATTTTTTTTTTCAGTTTTAGTTAAAAATATTTCAGTTTTTTTCAGTTATTAATTGCTTTAGAAAATTGCTTCATTTGTTTTTTTTCCAGTTTGTACAAAAAATATTGTTTTAGAAAATATTTTTCAGTTTTTTTAAAGCAGTTTTCTTTTTGTAAAAAACTGGAAAAAAAATATATTCGTTTTTTTTTTCCAGTTTTTAGTAAAAAAGTTTTTTTTAGTTTTTACAAAAATAAAATTATTTTTCGGGTATGAGTAATGGATCTTTTTAATTAATTAAGAGATATTTAGAATTAACCAACATGACGATGACATGTGTCCCTTCGTTTAAATGAGGGGTATATTTGAACCCAAAGTATAACTGCAGGGGTATAGATAACCCAATAGTATAATGAGGGGTATTTTTAGATCATTTTCGAAAATAGAGAAGTATATTTGGCCCTTTGTCGTTACCTAAATGGTTTTAATTTCAACCAATCTATACTTGACCGTCAATGTCGGATAATTAATGTTGATATTATTAGCCGTGCTAACCTTGATATGAAAATCATACATGCTCACAATTTCCCTCTAAATCTAGAAGAAAAATAATATAGCAAAGATTAACTTATCTGAAGTGAATAATGGGGCGTGTCTTATATTGTAAATCACATAGGATCATCCTGTGTGGTTATTTTCGTTTTTAGTACGCACTTGCATTAATAAATGTCCTTCCTCGATATCGGGGCGGTTGAACCATAAGACAGCTAAAGCAATGGCATGGGCCCTAACTTTTTGGGCCCCCATTTTTTTTCTAAAATTATTTGTTATATATTATAAAAAAATAAAAAATCGTGCATATACTGTTGGAAGCTAAGTTTTTTTGGAAGAAAGTAATTTTTTACTTTTTATGTGGGGTCCATTGGTGTCTAATTTCTTACCTAATTATATCATACCACCTGGCATGAGCCCACATGACTATTCATATATATATATATATATATTTTTGTCTCTTTCACTTATTCTTACTCTCTTCTTATTAATTATTCCTATATTCCATTCGAGAAAACTTTTAGTTGTGTGCTTACAAAAGATCAAAGTTTGCTTTTGGGTGTCTTGTTCAAAATTTCAAGCATTGCAACAAGACAAAAGCAATATTTATTTTGAAGCAGTGCAATACTATTTCGATACCGTTATATCAACTTATCAAATTCTTGAGCCAGGTTTTATTATTCTAACCTTATATTATATTTTTTCATTGAAAATTTGTCATTATTGATATTCTTACTTCCTAAGTATATATTCTTATTTTAGTTATTATTAGATTTTATTCAATTTAAATATGTTAACTAGAAAATATGAATCCGGTTATGCAAAAAGAGAAACAAATGTGAAGAACTAAATAAATCCCAAAAGGGAGCCCTTGATAGATTTTTAACAAATAATAAAAAATTTGAATTAGAAAACATGGGAGGATGTTCTTTAAATGAACAAGTCACTGATAGAGTTGAGTTAGATGATAATAACATTCAAGAAGAATATCTAGAGGAAGTTACTACGAAATCTGATATAGTTCCAGAAAATTAAGAACTCTTAAATGATTTGACTAACTGCATCTCTAAAAATATATATGACGATTTTTTTATTTTTTTTAAAAATTAGGGCTTCTCTGTGAAGTTTGTCTTTAGGCCTCCAATCTTGTTGAGCCGGCCCTGCCTCGACAGGACCTTTCAAATTGGAAAACTCAACTTGCGTTTTTCCATTTGCAAGTAACAGCATCACTCCTTTACTTTTAATTAATTATCTCAATTTCTTTTTTCACTATGCCTCGACATGATAGTAGCTCAAGCGAGTAAATATTATAGTAGGATGCAATGAATAGTAGCATATGATAATTCTTTGTTCTCAGATTTCGTGTAATGCCGTTGAAGATATACATGCCATTGACAAGTAATGGAGGAAATTGTAATGGAGCAAATCCCAATCACTAGTAATTATGGGTGGGTTTTGTTTGTTTTCCATGTGCTATTCTGTACTCGCATTGGGTCCTAACTATATACTCCTAAATAATATTTTTTTCATTTTCAGATTGAATCCGAAATCTATACTTAAAGATGAAGGAACCATATTTATCTCACTACAATCCTTGGTGGTGGTCCATGTACAATCCTGAGTTACTCTATGTGCAACGTTGCATCTACACAACATTAACAGTTCAACATTCCATCTTACTTCACAAAATATTCTTCGGGTCGTTTGGTAAGCGGACTAAGTTATCCCGGGATAATAATCCCAGGATTATAATCCATAGACTATTTTATCCCACATGGAAGGTGGGATAAAATAATCCTAAGTTTGATGAGATAAGGTGGGATAAAGTAGTATATCCAGTATTAAGTCTGGGATTAAATTTATACCATATTTGGTTGATGGTATAAATTTAATCCCTTACCTTATCCCACGTTCATGTATATGTTTACAATTTAAGAAGGAATATATAGAGTGTGTTTCAGTGGCGAAACCAGGAATTTCATTCAGGGTGTTCAAACTTGAAATAAGTAAAAATATTTTCGATAAAGGGTATTCAATATATGTTATATACCATTAAAATCTAGTATTTTACATATATATACAACGTAATTTTTCAATGAAGGGTGGTCAAATTAAAATCTAGTATTTTACATATATATACAACGTAATTTTTCAATGAAGGGTGGTCAGTTGACCACCCTTAGGGCTATGTACTTTCGCCCATGGTGTGTTTGGTACGAAGGAAAATGTTTTCCTAGAAAATATTTTCATGGAAAATAAGTGATTTTATTACTTATTTTCTCTTATTTGGTTGGTGAGTGAAAATTTTTTTTTGGAAAATATTTTATAGTGTTTGGCTAGAAAAAGCAACAACAACAACAATAACCCAGTATAATCCCACTAGTGGAGGATGGGAAGGGTAGTGTGTACGCAGACCTTACCCCTACCCTGGGGTAGAGAGGCTGTTTCCGATAGACCATCGGCTTCCTCCCTCAAAGAACTCCCACCTTGCTCTTGGGGGTGACTCGAACTCACAACCTCTTGATTGGAAGTGGAGGGTGATCACCACTAGAGCAACCCATTCTTGATTAGAGAGTAGAAAATATTTTTCAGGAAAATAATTTTTTATGCCACTCTCCTCACTGCCCTTCCCCCAAGTCCCCATGTTTTCTGTGTTCTCCGCCCTCCCTATCCCAAAACCCAATATTTTCAGGACTCTATTTTCTTCAATAATTTAATTATTCTTCTAAAAATTCACACAAATCCAAAGGAACTAATGTGTTGCTTTACTTTTTTAAGCAAAATAATGTTGAAATTTATGCTCCATAACTAAAAAGAAAATACTTTTTTTTGGTTGAAGAAAAAAAATACTCTTTCTACAATATAAAAATAAAGTACTCATTTTGTTAAAATAAAAAAAAATATTTTTTATACATCTTGAAAAGAAAACTCTTTTTGTTGAAATGAAAAAAAAATGATAAGAAGTTTTTTTTTGTTAAAATAAAAAAAATACTTTTTTTAATCATGAAAAGAAAATACTTATTTGTTGAAATGCAAAAAAGTATTCTATCTATAACATAAAAAGAAAGTACTATTAATAATATTTTTATTTAGGAGGGGGAGGGGGTTGGAGACGGGGATTAGGGTGTGGTAGGCGAGGGT